AGGGGCCATGCGAGGTCGGCCTCAGCCATGCCAAAGGTCTCAGGACCACAAGAGGGCAGGGGCCCCAAGGGTGGGGTGCTACACCCAGTCGCCCCTGTGTACACCGTGAAGGTAGACAGACGGATCGTCCAGCGTGGGTCCACGCGGCACAAGGCTGCTCTGGTGGGCGTGACGGAAAAGGGCGACACTGCCAGGAGGTGGGGAACGATTGTTAAAAACATGTGCAATACTGGAATTAGGATGCAATGGGCTCCAAATACAGGTGGCCAGTGCGAGGCAAGGTTCGCAGGACGGGAAAGCTGTCAAGCTGATGTTTGGAAGTCGGCTTTGGAAATTTGAGTAGTGTCTGTTCTAATGCTTTTGCGAACGCCATAGAGACTGAGCTCAGTGATGGGAATCTGAGTTGCGGCACTTGCTCCCCAGGCTGGCTGCTAAGGCTGCGATTGACGTGCGGTCCACTGCCGCACTATTGACATCGGAACTGACACGTGTGGCGACGAAGATTCCTGCCCAACCACTGCTGAAAGTAGCGGCAACAAATCTGGGACATCTGGTGCCACAGCACACAGGTGGGTGGTTGCCAGGCTGCTCTTTATTTTCTAGCGTGCCCAAGTGAGCATCCTGGGACACTGTCCACTGCTGGTTTGCATGACATCACTTTGCCTTGCTGCATTTTGAGTGGTAACTTGGATGGTGCTCATAACCATCAGTCTTCTTGAAATGAACAGCTGCATGTACATTCCAACTTTGTGCAAGTACAACATACCAGGAGTTCTGAACTTCACCATACACAGTACCCCCCATGTACAGCACCTGGAGTTCTGAATTGGTATCATCAAAGGATCAGCAGATGCTCAGCACAAACAGCAGCACTTGTCTCACTTTCCACAACTGTTTTGGGAGTCTAAAGCTGGTCTGTGCAGCAGGCCAGCCTGGTGCTGGGTCTTCCAGCCCTCGCATTCGTGATGCCATGGCGGCCGCCTTGTCAACGGGACTCTCACCGTCCAGTGCCACCACCTCTGTGGACTCAACCGCTGTCTGGCGACCAAGGGGTGTGCTGCTTGCACATCTTGCAGAGCACAGGAAGATGGTGAACAGACTGGCTGTTGCACGCAACAAGCAGTTCTTTGTTAGTGCCTCAAACGACGGAACGGTGAAGGTGAGGTTCTACAATACCAATGAGATTGTACTTTTTGTGGCAGACATGCGTTTCCTACCCGGGTGCTGAAACATTTTGTTGTGGAGTGCACCAAGTATAATTGGGTGCTTGAAACACTTTCCTGTTAATCAGAATTGTTGTTTAGACTCCTTGATATTAGCGCCCAGTCATCGTAGCCACAGGGTATGTGGGGCGATGTGAATCATGAATGTGTTCCTGTCGCTTCTCATCTATCTTGCGGACCTTCGATAGCACTGATGTCAATCCCAAGGGTGTCAGTGAGCTGATTTGTGGCCAGTCGTTCTCTGTGACTCGAGTGGCAAAAGCTGAACAAAACAGGGGAACAAATTGGAACAGAATAATCGCAGTAAAGTTGGGTAATAATGTTCAGGGCATCTGCACACAAGTGCTCCTCGCACGGAATTGTGAAGAAGGTCTTGTGAAGTTGGTGGTCGAATTGCAGATCACAAGGCCGGCGGGCACGACCGTGGATAAAGAGCTTCCACCATGAGCATCAGGGCAATGACAACCGCTGGTTGTGTCACACCTTTCTTGCAGTTGAGGCACTTTGCCTTGCTCCAGGCAACCACCATTTCCCTCAAATGTTTATGGCTGTGGTACTCAGCTTCCGATTCATGCCTGTGTTCCTGTTGGCCTGTGGTTTCAGGTCTGGGACCTCAGGCATCTGGAGAGGGATGTGTCGTTTCACAGCAAGCTGACATACGGCGCCCAGTCGGGCAAGATCACAGCAGTCACAGCTTGTGAGGACAGTGCCAGCATTGCTTCAGTGTCGACAGATGGTAGTGTCCATGTGTGGCGTGTGGAGTATGTGCGGAATACACAGCGACCCGGACGGGAAGATTACTCAGGTTTTTGTGCCATCTTGTTGAAGGTTGCATCAATGCAGTGCAGTATCATTTTGAGTTGCATTGGTTGAACCAAACAATCAATGTCCAGTTCATTGCTGACACGTATGCCAGCTATCTCCGGATTTGGGCAGTACGTCTTCCCAGAGGAATGCAACAAAAAGGCACTTTGAAGTGGTTTGCAATGGACTTTCCACTGCTGCAGAGGCTTCAACATGCCAAAGCCCTCACATCCAATCACAGCAACAGATACGGCGGAGATAGAGCTGATGAGCAAGCCAGACTGAAACAGGCAGTTCTTGTGGCATTGATAAGACGCTGCCAATCTCTTCCACTTCACCATGGAGACTGTCCCTGCTGACATTGCCGGACAAAATAGCTGCCAAGAAACAGCTATTTCACTGCCAAGAAGCTGTGCAAAACATTCTCAATATTTCTCTTCAGTTTGCATTGGAGCTCCACCTTCTATGACTTGATTGTGTGCTGTTTGCTGTTGTTGTATTTTGCTTTTTGACAGTAGTGCTCGTTCCAATAAAGAATGTATTTATTGTCTGCTTCTAATTCATCTGTGCATCAATACAGACAGGTCATGTTGCCATCCAGTGCATGAATGACTGTTTGCCATGTCCTCCCCAAAGCTATCTGCCCTGCCAGAAAACAGCGAACAAACGCATATTTCTACTAGGCGAATGCCCTTCATGGCCCTCTGGCATGCAAAGGCAGTTTTGTGCTTTACAAAGGGCACATGCAATCACGGAGAATTCAAAGGTGGTAACCCATCGACTGTGAACACACAGCTCTGACAGATGTGCACATGTGGCTGCAGGCATAACTGGCAGGCAGCAGGTGACGCCCTGCGAAGGTGCAGTGCTGGACATCCACCAATGGGGCCCACTCCTGATTTATGTTACCCAGAGGGGCGGCGTCCACGCTTGGGACATCCGAATGCGGCAGGACGCCTGGTGCATACCCCTGGCGCCCCACCAGGGGCTGGTCGAGAGGATCGCCTTGGACCCCACGGACGACCTGTCCTGGTTGCTGACAGGCTCAAGCCGCGGCTACCTGGGCCTGTGGGATGTACGGTACCGCCTGCTAGTTAACAGCTGGAGGCACCCGCTGGGGTGCAGCATAAATGCACTGGCACCGGCCCTTGCGCCGCCGGACTCCTTGGGCCTCAGGGGGATGTCTGGGCTTGGGCCCCTGGTGTATGTGGCAGCTGGAGGGAACGAGGTGGCCCTCTGGGATGTGGTTGAGGGGCGGTGTCGGCAGGTGGGTGGAACACAGATCGCCTGAGCGTGCTGTCTTCCATTTTGATTGTTTTGATATCCTTGGATAGCGGTTGTCGGAAACTACAAGATGGGCCCCCCTTGCACCCCCCAGTCGATGGCATGCTTCAATCCATTTCGCGTTGCACAGTGATTGTTTTCTTTGCCATTTCCTTTGACTGGGCCCATGCAGGCCATATGAACCAGCAGGTGGCTTTGATCATGCCATTCTGTGCGTGTCATTGTCCTGGGCATCGAATTGCGCAACAGATGTGTGAATGGGCGAGGTGTTGCTTGACTGTCAGAAGCACTGCTAACCCAGATGTCATCCCTGTCCAGTTATGTGTGCGTTGGGATCAAAGTATTCTCAATGCCTCATATCGCATGTGCTAGTGAGGAGTTCCTGATTCCTGCAAGGAGCCAGAAAGCGCAACAGCCATCAAGGCTGGCAGTGCCATTTATGCTGGGATCTGTGATGGAATGGCTGAGAGAAAGAATGCATCGTTGTAGCCCATTGGCTGGTTATCTGCAGGTTCACTGCTGGCTACTGCATGATTCTTATTGCTGGAAAATGTGGTATGCACAGTGGGGCATCCTTCTCTTGTGTGCAGAAGCTTTGAGACTTGTTATGCGTTTGTGCATCACAAAATACAAACATCCCTAAACGCCCAGAGAAGCAGTGGATGGTGCGTCACAGCCTTGGTGTTGAAGAAGATGTGTCCAAGTGAAACTGTCTTATTGATTGATCCAGAACAATCTTGGTCAAAGAACAAGCAGCTGGTGCTCATGGGCCCCAAATGGGCACAATCGACAAGGCAGCGCACACAAAATTAACTCAAAAGTTTCCATAATGTCAGGTGTTTCGTGTCATACCTCGTGAGGAGACCGAGATTGTAAAAATGGAGCAGCCAACTGCCCTCGGTCCCCCACCAGCCCAGAGGAACTCATCGCAGCTGCGGTCGGCAGAATCTGGCTCCGACCCCTTGCGAACAAGCCTTGCCAAGGACTTGGCAATCCAAGAGCTGTACATGCCCCAGCCCCGGCAAGAGGGCTTGCGATCGGTGCTGGCGATGCCGGGGGGCGCCCTCCTGACTGCAGGGAGCGACCGGTGTGTGCGGTACTGGGATGGCCTGGAGCCCAAGAGCAGCTACATTGTCTGTGGCCCACCTGTGAGGGATGAGCTGTCAGAGATGCAGCTTGCGGTAAGTGTTGTGCCTAGCACTGGGCGCTTTGGTTGTTAATCGAAGTGCTGAAGAGAATGCCAAGCAATGGGCAGCATCTTCCCGAGCAACTTCGTTGCACACATGGCGAGAAAATGCATGGTGCCCTTGCTTTCATGCCTGTGCTTGTTGAGTGTTCATCAGGAGCTCTGCGGTGGAAAGTTGCCATGTCTAGAGCACCGGGAAAACCCATTCGCTTCGCTGATCCCCTCATGAAGTCGATCGAGATCATGGAAGAAGTCACAGCGATTCTTGTCGAATTCCTGCAATGCAGATTTCACAGGGCACAATTCCTTGGGCAGGCGCCCCACATTGCTCAGTTTTTGGGATTATGGGATTAAGGAAGATTTCTGGCGTTGTCCGACAGATAATGTATATTGAGCTGATGCCCTTTTGGGAGAGGGGGCTTTCTGACAAAGCATGTTGCTCTCCACTGTGTATGGAGAATTGTAATGACTTGATGGGGAACTGAGAATGAAGGGTAGAAATAAAGTGAGAATCGAATATTGTCCACAGTTTTCACTTTTGTGCCTGGTAGCGGCACAGTGTCAATGGCATTGGCGTTTGTCTAAACTAGAACAATGCTTCAACACTGTTGGTACTACTAAAGGAATACAATCAATTGTTATAGCACATTACCACCGACAAAACAGAATCTCAAAACAGAATCTCCCAACAAAACAGAATGAAATACTGTGGTGGCATCAGTGTTTGAACGCCTTGTTCTGGGGGCATCCATTTACTGTTCTGTTGGCATGAACTGCACTTGTGTAGGTTTGTATCGCTTGGTTTTCCAATGCAACATCTGGTTCAACCATGCCCGTTTCGGGGCGGCCTTGGCATTCCTTGTCTCCTTGCCTGCGGCTTCGCTCCCGGAGTGCCGGTCCATTGACAACCCCCCGCCCCTTTTTCTGTTTTGGGTCCTCGCTTTTCGCACTGGAGGCTCTGCATCATCCTCTCACAGCACAGAAAGCGTCTGGCACACACTTGCTTGGGAGGGCACCCTCTGACCCGTTTCTCCCTTGCAACAAGTCTTACCCCCTCGCGCTTTCTCCCGCAGGACCGCCCGCGGCCGCACTACACCCACCAGTACACGCTGCACCGCCTGCACGAGGTGCCCATCCTGGACGAGTGCTGCCTGGCGACCCACACCCCGAAGCCACCCGACCCCTTCGAGGACATCCTGCGCATGGAGGACCTGTGCCACCGCGACTGCGTGACGGACATGGCCACGGTGGAGGTTCAGGAGAGGATGCTGTTGACTTGCGGGCGAGACGGGATCGTCAAGGCGTGGCGGTGATGCCCTTGCGACAGCAGCTGGGGCGACAATCCAGGAGCATGGCAGCTTGGTGTACACGGAGGGGCACCCCATTGCCACGCCACTTGTTGTCAAGAAATCTGCCAATCCCTCGACATCTATCTCGGACGCAGCCGATCGGTCGAGCGCTGCACTTGCTGGTCGGGTCGCTGACCAAAGGCTGCCGCGCCTTGGAGCGCGGTGGCCGGCCAGCAGGGAAGGTATCCGTTCGCGGGGAGGTAGCGCGCAATCGTACGATGCGGTATTTATCGATATCGTACGGCTGTGCGGGGCTCCGTACGCATTTGTGAACCTCGCACGGATGGATGTCCAAGATGCCCGGTCCGCAGGGCGTGGGCCAACGGGTCCGTGTGCGCTCACACATGCGAACATGGACGCGCAAAATGTATGCCGGGCGGCGCATGGGTGCATGTGCGGTGGCAGAGGCACGGTGCTCGAAGGTTGGCGAATGGGGTTGGCGGGGGATTGAGTTTGGGGAATTGTAATGGAAGCTGGGGTTAATGGGCGGGTGGGAGGATGATTCGATGTGGACAGGCAACCACCTGTGCTATAACGACGTTGGCAGGGGATTTTATTGTGCGCATGGGGACGATTTGTAAAATGTTGTAGGCACAGCTGAGTCAGCAGGCGACCTGCGGGTGCAATGAAGCACGCCATGCGGCTTGCTCTGCTTCTGCGTCACTGGGCCAATTGAGATATACAGATTCAGCAGTCTTTTCCATTGAAATAGTGTCGTGGGCAGCTTCAGGAAGGTGAGCTTTGTTTGGCCACATGAAAATGCCGCCCTTGCTGGAGTTGCAGCTGTCCAGAAACCTTTGGCGCTGCAGATCAGCGCCCCGCGCTGGTTTGCGCTGTGCCATGGGAAAACTCACTTTCTTCTCCGTTTGCCTCCATGTCCTCCAGCCAAGGGGACATCACAGCCAGAGCCGCTCAAGTCACGCAACTAGTGCACGGTCGGATCCCGGGGCCACAACTCATCGTGCCCAGTGCGCTGAGGCACACAAGCCGATGTTGGCTCTGCTGCACCATTGTTCCTGCACTAAGGGAAGACACTATTTTGAGTGTCGTACGCTTTGCATCAAATGGACACCAAAGGGGGGAGGGGTCTTTGCCATGGACGCTAAGATTGGGCGTTAAAAAATTACTTCCTCCTTCTCAATTACATGAAACAGTTTGGTTGGGAGGCTTTATTTGTACCACGCACTTACTATTTTTCTCTGAAAACTTGGCCAAGAAATACCCTCGAATTTACATGCAGTCAAATTATTGTACAAGACGGATAATTATTGGCCAAATGGTTGCACTTTGAGCCCGTAGGATTTTCCGAAAACCCCAATTTTCTGACTCTGGCGGCCCACTTCCCGAAACGGCCCAAAACGGCCCTTCGACCAGGTCGCTTTCCAACTGTCGGTGCGCAGCGCAGAGTGGATATCTGCGGCCGCCACTGTGGCTGCAGGTCAGAGGCATTCCTATAAAAGCACAGAGGTCGTGCAACCAGGTTCCATAGTGCTTTATCATCGATCGCGACCATGGATTCGATAGTCCGTTGAGGGTTTCAGATTTGGATTGGAAGCCAAGAAACCGGCAAATTTCAGCACCACAGCGTTTTCGAAAGGGGTTGCCGCTATAGGCGAGATGGCCGCAAGTGTTTAGGTCACCACAAACAATTTGGAGAGATGCGATTGTCAGTTCGCTGCACAACAACGAAAAGATTGTTGGGAGCGCCTGTGCCTTGCACAAGCCACAAGGAGCACTTCGAATGCCGTTCAACCGCTTTGAAAGATGTTGTTGCGAGATATTTTGGACACCATCCATGCAAAATATAATAACAACACTATGCACCACTTGGGGTCTCCGATGGAGTATCCGCACCCTCCATCGGTCGTGTTTAGTGGGATTGATGCGCTTTTCTGGGTAGTTGTTCCTTGGCCAAACATGCCATTAATTGGAGATCGGCAATGAATGGAAAGCGCTCAGCCCACACAGTGGTTCCAGGGGTAGTCTTTAGACACCAGAGACCTGTTGGCAATGGCAGATCCCAGATATGTCCTTGCGTGACCAAAGACAGTGATGGGGATTTCCGCAAATCCGCAATGGCGAGATGGGTCATACGCCATCTCTGCCAATTGTCCATCTCGATGGGTGCCGATCATTGCACTAGAGCCTGAGCGAGGCTGGCTGCTCTACCCTTCCAATGCCCTGAAGTCCAGAAAGAGGGGATGCACTTTGTGTGTTTGGCCATCCCAAACATATCTTTTTGGCAGGCGGGGAATGCCCTAGGAGGGACCAAATTCTAGATTAAAGTAGCACAGGTTCAATGCATTGCTGAATGCAATGCACTGAATCGTTCCCTCTGATTTTTTGGCAGCAACTACTGCATTTATAGTAGATGCTGCGGTTACATTTCCAAGAAAAGCAAACGATTACTTCCCACAAATTCAGCCACCCCACAAATTGTTACCCTTATTTTGATACAAAGAAAGCATGTAATGTCAATCAAATCAAAATAAGGTGAGGCACAAAAAGGCCACTGATTAGCAGCAAACAACTCAAGACTTGCTGCAAAACCTCCCACAAGATCTCAATCTTTAAGAAGGTCCTTAGAATCGATCGATTCACAGCTTTGAGGTGGCTTCCACTGCTTACCATAGCTTCAACATCCCACTTTTACCGCCGTACAATCGCTACAATTGTGTTTTCCTTAAAATATCTTGAAGGTGTATTGCACTCATAAGTAATGTTGCTGAGTCACCCAAGCAATGAACAAGGATTGACACTGGAGGATGAGGGTCTCTAAGCTTGACGTCTTTTTGACACTAAGCATACTAAATTCAAATAGTGTCTTCCCCAAGTGGATCAGATTCAAAGTAATGTCTTCTCTAATTAGGGAGGACCAAATTAAGAAGACAGATTTCAGGAATCATATCAGGGGGATTGTGGCCGTGGCTCCCTCTTGACCACGTCCAAGTTACCTAGCCCGTGTCTGAGGGCCTCTCTGTGGAAGCGTGTCATGTCCTCAGCCAAACGGTGTGTCACGGGCTCTCTCTGACCCTTGCTTGACGGCCACGCTGCTCGCGGTCCCGTCCAAGGCACACGCACTGCACTTGAGGAGGCAGGGGCAAGAGCTCTCCAGAACGATCGATTCAACATCGGGCGGCCACATCGCACTCTTACATCCATGGTACACAATAATTGTCTTACATTAAATTCATTAATTACATTATCTCTGGCGCCCGGGGGCTCCACTCCCAGAACCCCAGTCCTGCAAGCATCCTTCAGGGACCTCCGCCTGGCCTCGCTTTGCTCGGCCAAGCTCGGCCCTCTCACAAACTTTGCAGAATGTAGTCCCACGTGCAACTCGCCTAAACTTTTGCATGCCATTACCACAAAGATCCGTTTATAAGTGGAACATGGTTTTGAGCCAGGGTTTGAATCAGAATTTTAAAGATGGTTAATTTCAAAGTTGTTGAAGCCCCAAATTCGCTATGTCTTTGAAGAGATGTTGATTGGAGAGGTGTAAGCAAGGAGGTGCAGTAATTGACAATAGCATAGCAACTGCCGATTGGATTGGTGCAAACAAATTGAAACCGAATTAGCACTGCACCACTTAACCAATATTATGCAATTCAATCCCGTTTAAAGGGTGTACCAATAGTACATCGCTTAGGGAAGACACTATGTCGATTTTGGTATGCTTAGCATCAAATTGATGCTGAGGGGGAGGGAAGAGGAGATTTGCGATGCTAGGGGTTTATGTACTTGACACAAATCGACACAAGGAAGGTGCATAAAGACGCCACAGATAAACGGCAAACAACCCCTGACATGTTCCTCAGCTTGTTGCAAGTGTTCGATCTTCAAGGAAGGCCTTAAAATGGATCAATTTGCAGCCACTGAGGCTGCACGCCTCATCTGTGATGGCACTTAGAATCCCATTTTCAGCCCACTGAAATCAGCACAACTTCCACTGTTTTTCTCCCTAGAAACACCTGGAAGTTTAATACCATTGTTAGGTAATGTTGCTGAGTCATCCTGGCTTCGACATAAGGAATGACGCTAAGGTGTGGGTGTGGGTGTGGGTGTGGGTGTGGGTGTGGGTGTG